AACAATGAGGGATAAAGCCATCCAAACACGTGTAAATTTGAATTACCCGTAAAATAAATTCTGGACATATAAAATCTTTCCTGTGTGTAGAAAAGAAACTACAATAGCAGAATATTATTACACATCTATGGAATTTGATATTTACATAATTCAACATGATTAGATTTTAAACAAATGGTTAGATTGATGTGCTTTTTATGCGTAAAATTTATAGCACACTACGCTGATAACTTAGTACTATAAGTATAATCATGAAAATGTGTACAGGGCTGATTATTTGGCAGTATAATGTGAATTAACAGACAATCTAGGTTGAATAGTTTTGACAGTTCATACGTTTTATCCACTATGTACTCTTTGTGATAGTTGTCAAAATAGTGAACTGTAGCGTCTAATGTATCAGTGAGGTTTGGGGAATCATAATGTCCACATGCATTATTAAATAGAAAATATTCTGATTGGACACTGGATAGTAACTAATATCAGGCATCTATTGATATAAGTATAAAACTTGGGCACTGGTCGTTCGTTTGGTTCAGAGTGAATCTTATCAGTCGGATTTGCAGTGTAGCTACCATCTTAAGTGATTCACCACCACGGTGTATTCTGAACTGTTATTAGGTGGCTGGATGCAATTGGTATTAAGCCTTGAACGTAAGTGTTGCGCTCGTTGCTAGTGTATTATTGAAGAGACTCGTGTCCTTTCTGAGATTCAAACTTTAGTTATCCAGTGCTACAGTCTGACAGGTTGCCACTGAGCCATTCAGGCTCACGAATCACTTCATGTAGGACTGTTATAGGCTACTTTCCATTTGGCTCCAGCCATCTAGCAAATATTTCATTCATGAAGATTAAATGTATGCCAACATTTCATTTCTGTACAGTTTTCCTCAGCACTAATATTCTTAGTCATGGAATACGGAGAGGTTTCATTCGGATATGAACGCCATATGCTCTGTACACTGACCTGCCACTATTGTGAGAATTAGTAAGATTGATATTTGCATAAGTGAAACAAGCCTGGAATCTGTTGCCCACCGCTACAATGTCTACAAAAAGAATTCAAATTTTCATAACTTTAGGAATATCTGTCTATCCCTGAAACACTAGTCTTTCTAAGTTGTGACCAGTGGGGTGCAGCAGGTTGGGTGTGAGGACAAATACTTGTCACCGATGACATTGCCTAGTGGTCGCGCTATATGGTGAATTGACAGAGGTTGGAATTCATGGGCTCACTACTGGATTGGTTCCTAGTGGCTTAATGGCCTACGATCTTGCCTTGTGACCAGAAAGTCCTGGGTTCGAATCTCGATGCGTGTGCACTGATGAACAGTCCCGGACCGGAACGAAACAGCTGTCTAGAACTCCCTACAGGTTTTCCAATGGTTTTCTAACCGATGTTAACTTATGATGAAATCCTAAAACCAATCACATCCCTGGAATTCAAAACTTGAATACCTAATATGTTTGTCCCATTAAATTAGGACAGTAAAAAAGCACATAGTGAAGTAGTAGTTTTCTCTTGGCTATTTACACCTTATTTATACTCAGAGAAATTGTGTGTACTTTTTTGCGCAGCTTTAGTGTCACAAACAATATAAAAACTTAAATGTTATAGAAATTAGTATTTAACTGGTGGATGGTAACTAGCAGTGGAATCCAGGATGTGCATTTCGTCCCATTTGGGACTCGTCAGTTGGATGTACCAGCATTTCTCAGGAAGTGATGATGTTCCCACCGAGGCTCAAACCCAGTGCCCATAGTTTCAAACGCCAAAGCGTTATCCACTAGACCGTTTGGGCCACGAGAGCCACCTTTTGTGCAACGGTCCACTGCTAGTCACCATCCACAAATGAAATACTAATTAAATGCCCAGACATCGTCGAAGCATCTGCACAAGAAGCTGGCATGTCAGCCTGAGACCAAGCACTTCAGTCCAATCAATCGACGGGAAAATGTAAAATTCAATTAAATTATAGGAATTATTTTGCAAGCGTTCAGTCACGGTATTTACATACACCGGTTACTTCTGCTCCCGCCCCCCTCCATATTGCATAATGTTAACTGTAGGAAACAAAGAATGAACCTGACTTCATGCATTAGATAATCTTAGCTAGGCTTTTTAATTCATAAAAAATTACAACATGTAATTTTTATTTATGCCTGCTATCTCATGGCCACACAAGAGCGCTGATCTCATAATTCCTGTAAAAACGCAGTTAAAACAGAAAAAGCACAGTTTGGTGTCTTTACATCAGCCAATCATGCGCTAAATATAGATCACGCAGATGACCTTGAAACATCCCCTAGATTACATACGTATCAACCACTGTTAATACTTATAGTGACATTAAATGAATTCATGAATATTCCTCATCTAGGCATCAATGAAAAAAGACAACAACACAGAAACAAGTAGTGCAGCGAAGAGACTCTTTTCGGCGAATTCATTTTCTTTAGCTGTATTACAGTCACATTTATAAGCATTTTTCTTCTTACAAACGATGAGAGTAATTAAAGTGATCAGTTCTAAGAGTCATATTATGTTAATACTAATCAATACACAACAAGAGTTGAATAAGGGTGTTAGTCTTACATAACAATGAGATAAATATTTTTGATTGGACACTAGTCAGTAACTAGTGTAATGTGTCTATTCCTATCTTCGGTGCAGACTGAATTCTATCAGTCAAGCTTGCAATGTGGCCAACATGCCACTAGGTGACTCGCCATCATGGTGTACTGTGAATTATTGGTATTAGATGGCTAGAGGAAATCGTCAGGAAGCCTTGGACCTGGGTTTCGTACTAGTTGGCGCTATGCAGATACGCCTTGCTGGTGAGTGCCAACTAGAACGAAACCTAGGTCCAAGGCTTTCTGTCGATTGCCCCCAACCATCTAATACAAACAACGAGATCAATAATTTAATGAATGAGTTGTATTCAGGATGCACAAAGCAACGAAAACAAATGTGAGTGAGAGTAATTTTATTATATGCGATGACGTCAGTAGACCTGGCTATCAAATATCAGCAACTACTAATCAAATATCCCTTGAAATCCATCGAAATCCAAAGGTTAATAGTGTTTATATTTTGTGGAATGGCATTTTGTTTTACTCTGTTTAAATTAAAATTTGTGACATATTACCCATCCAAAAGATGAATTATTTAGCTTTCAACAGAAGACATTTCACATATATTTTATTTTTTTTAAATATTTAACAAATTTGCAGCAAAGTTAATTATCTTACATTTAGCTGTTATATTCATAGATAATTACTGTTTTATAGGATTGTTTTTGTAGGGAATGTGTTTGTTTGGTCGGAGGATTTCATCATGAGCTGACATCAGTTAGAAAACCATTGGAAAACCTGCAGGGAGTACTGGGCAGCTGTTTTACCCTAGTTTGGGACTCTTTGGCAGTACGCACCCACCGGAGTTGGAACCCAGAACCTTCTGGTTACAATGCGAAATGGCTCGTAGACCATTAAGTCGCTGGGACTCGATTCAATCGCTAGCACATGAATTCTAAATTCTGCCTATTGCCTAGGGTGGTGTGCCTAATCGCACTACAGTTATTCGCGCTAGGTCATATGAAAATATATTCCATCAAAGTGACTAAATACAACTCTTACGTTAATTATCCACAGACAACTTTTGACCATACATTCATTCTGTTAATATTTGATTAAATATATGAGTTTCAGTAACGCCTGGATTGATTTTTCGGTGTAGGGTGGCTAGCCCCATACCAAATCTTTCTTCTTTATCCGATTTGAACACCGGTTAGAAAATTAGCGAATTAGTAAACTAGGCAAGTGGACATATGGAAGACGGAGGTGATGAAGATAACCAACCAACCACCAATCAATAGCAATGGTATAGATTTTAAAGAAGTCACTTCCTTCATTTATCTAGGCATCATCATTTCGACTAGAGGCGACAGTACGGATGAGAATGTCAAAGCTATCCAAGATCAGAAAGACAAGACAGGCTTTTATCTCTCCGGAATCAGTTAGCAAATCTTTTGTACTCTATTTATAAACGACAAAATCTGGGTTTCCAACACAAAGGTTAACTCAGTCAATTCTTCTATATGGGTCAGAAAATTGCTGAGTCACAAAGAGCATTTTGACACAGGCTAAAAAAGCTTTTATCAACAGCTATCTTGGCTGCATATTGAAGACCAAATGACCAGAAAGAATTAGCAGCAGGAAATTATGGAAAAGAATCAACCAAGAGCCTATTTCACTAGAAATAAGACGAAGGAAATGGAGGTGGATCAGGCACACGCCGAGAAGACCATCGGGTGGTAACACGCGCCATTTCATGGCCCTAGTGGAACGTGAATGGAAGTTTTCAATGAAAGTATGACACGGAGGAGATTGTATGAGGAGGAGATGGGAGACTATGGAAATCATGGGGTTAGCTAAAGAGGACTGCAGACAGCAGAACAAAACTGATTTGTACTATTCAAGCCCTATGCTCTACTCGAAACGCAAAGGAATAATAATATTACATAATTATATGGCGTAAGATAGACTGAGGCTAGGTGACCTTGATGACGATCCACCAAAAAGGTCCTCTTGCAGTCTTTATCTCTCCCTATCTCTCTGTCTCCTATCTGATATCTGGTCTCATATAGCCTTAATTTAATCAATATGTCTGCCTCTGTGTACATCACTTTATGTGATATAACTATTTAGGTAATAATCGTAAAAAGATAGCTTTCTTATTTTGACCACCAGCATAAGTGCCAACACAGTAGAAAACACTGATAAAAACTGATAAAACCAATAAGGAAGCTTCTTCTTAACCACTTCACATTTTAATTTCATAACAAAACAATAATAATAATAACAATCACCATGGTATCTGTTTTATTATTATTATCACTATTAATATTATTATGGTTAGCATAACGTGTCACTTAGAATTTATAATATAATCATCACCGCTATCATTGTGGTTGCTGTTGTTGTTGTTAAAGACTTTAAATATGCTGAATTCAAGGGAGATTTCAACACCTGACGATGCCAATGATATAGGCTCTGATCATGAGACCAGTACTAATTCTTCTGATATAGAAGCGATGGATGGGACACCATCACTGGAGATTGCCTCAGCATCACCGACAATAACTACACCAACAACAAAATCAGATACTATAAATCATAGTTCCACTGTATCAAAAACTGCTTCTAATCCATGTGATAATCAAGAAAGCCTGTTAAATTTACTAAACTCTAATTTTCTCGCTTGTTCTATTTGTAATACACGAAATGGTGGGATAAGGGTAAGTTGTTTTTCTTAAAAATCTTTTTCTTTTAATAAAGTTATTATTATGATGTGTGTTTCACTGGTGGTTGGGTTTCGTAATGACTCCATTATAAGTGGTGTAAGGGGCCGATGAATATTGGTTACGCTATTAATGTATAAGAGGCCCTTAGGTAAAGTAGCCTTCTCATCTGCGAATAAGCCTTACGCATTTTACTAAAAATTTCTGTCGGGAGGCACAATACAACACAAGTCTTATCTCATATTGTCCCTATTTTCGTGTTAACGCAGGATTACATAAATTAGCCAACGCAAAGACCAACGTCATCAAGTGAAGGAAGGATATGATGATTGACGGTGAAACAGAAACTTGTGGTGCATGAAAGTCTGCATCCCTCTAAAGAGCCATTTCTCTTACCAACTAAGCCAAATGAACCAACTGCCGGTCAAGCAGTAACATCGCTTCAATCATTAAAAGTTCTTCATCATCCGTACATTCGAATTCTAGCCCAAATGACACAAATACTTGCTTATTCTGATTATAGATGTCCATACCTGCTGATTGTTAATTAAACTAAGTGAAATAGTCTTCAAGTATTGGTTTTGTAGGGATTTTGTTTGATTGCATGGAGTTTTTCATCATGAGCTGACATCAGTTAGAGAACCACTGGAAAACCTGCAATGAGTACTGGACAGCTGTTTCGTCCTAGTTTGGGGCTCTTCATCAGCTCATGGTGAAATCCTCCATGCAATCAAACAAAATCCCTACAAAACCAATACTTGAAAATTAATCTGATGCTCACTAGCGACTAGTCCTATTCAGGCAATTAACCTGGGGTTCTAGTGGGAAGCCGTGACTAATAGAGTAAAGCAAGTTGAAGATGAGTTAGTAACTCATCGAAGAAGACATTGCGAAATGGTCGCGCTACATCGTGAATTGTCAGAAGTTAGAATCCAAGGACCATTGGATCGGGTGCCAGTGGCTCAATGGTCTACGAGCTCACTGGCCTTGTAAACAGAAGGTCATGGGTTAGAACCCCGGTGGGTGCGTACTGATGAAGAGTCCCAAACTAGGACAAAACAGATGTCCAGTACTCCTTGTATGTTTCCCAGTGGTTCTCTAACTGATGTCAGCTTATGATGAAATCCTCCATGAAATGAAATAGTCTTGGTTTTGAAGACTGATCCTTTGTCTAAAAGTAAGATGGGCCTTGTAGTTCATTCCACAAAGTGCATGACAAATAAAGTAAAGTCCAGCAGTATGGGCTTCACTATGACTCAGGTTTTTTTTTCATTTTAGCCTTAATTGTCAACCACTTACAGTAAATCAGTGGGTCGAATCATGACTGTCTAGGAAGGGTGAATTAATAACGGTTGTTTTCATTGGTCTGATGCTTAATATAATAAAACAGTGGGAGTAAGTGGACAACTGTTACAGTTAGATGAGATATCAAATCATCACTTCAACCTAGGATGGTTGTAAATCGCAAGCGTCTAGCATGTTACAACTAGATCACTATAATTATAAACAGTATGTTTTTATCTAGTAAATAATGAATTATACAAACAAATTTAAAGCTGTATTATAAAATGTTTTGACTGTCTTTGTCAATTTGTTATTCATTCTTAAAATAGTATTTAGCCAGTTGATAAATTATATTAATATTATATGAAGAGTTCAAGACTAATCAATGTAAAAGTACATTGGGGTATAGTATTCAGCTCCAGATCAGGTTTTTTTTCGACTTTAAGCACTAATCAGCCAGACAGTGAATACTAAATGACGAATGATTTGTTTATTTTGTGAAATCAGTTGCCATTTTTGACGGTGTAGCCTTTCAGAGTATCTGCTGTAAACAAACCCACCCACAAAATAAGTGGATCCATCGACAGTCTCATTATTTGCCTTATTAATCATTAATAAAAAGACAATTGCAGCGAAGAAAATTTTCTTTTCGATGAAGTCACCGTCAACTAGGCTGTAAATTCGTGTATTTATATCAAATGGATGGGAAAGTTCCAGAATAATTTCCGGTTAAGGGTCAAATTAATAAAAATTACAATTAGGAGTTAGAATGCCATAATAAACAGGGGGACGGATAAAACTCGAACAAAGTAGCATTGTAATAACTAAGAAGATTGACATTGTGCAATTGGGGGTTAGAAATGTAGAAATAACAAAATATACAGGATGTTTGGATAAAAAACTAATATGATGAATAATTGTTTATGCAATCAGGGATTAAATATGTAGAAATAGTAAAATGACAAAATAAACAGGAAGAGTGGGTATGAAAATATGGTAGTGTAAACAGGGTTTAAGAAAACTTAAAATAACATGAATAAACAGGAAGTTTAGATAAGAAAGGCGATGGGATGGTCATTACTAAAAAGAAATTTACCTGTTTATGATGGCCATGGTAGGGAGAGGGGTTGGACGTAATTCTTTTGGATACAAAGTGTGGGTTTGAGCTTTTGGATAGCTAGCGCCTCAGCTATGCCCAGATGTCTTGATTTGATTCCCTTTGATAGGTTTGATTGAATTTTGTATATCACTTTGAAGGATTTTTCGAAAGGCGCTGAATGTCCTGAGTTGACCAGATGTTCTGTCACTGAACTGTATACACGTTTTCGGTCTCCTTTTAATAGCCAGGCTGGGTAGTTTTCGCGAGCGCGTTTTTCAAGTCGGCGCATGGTACGGCCGATGTACTCAGCTCCACAAGAGCAAGTAAACTGGTATATGCACGTTGAGGTGGCCCAATGCGACGGCTTGTCTTTCACGTTCTGGCTGAACAGTTTCTTGCAAGAAAACGTCAGTCGTAGGCTCGCGGCGAAGTATGTTTTCCTTAGAGATTTGCAGAGGCGTTTGTGAGGGATTTCTGCTTCAATATCACCTTTGAATTCTAGATTAAGCAGAAGTGTTTTCTTTGGAACGGATCGGACTTGTTCTGAAGTCTTAGTCTTAGATTTGAGATTTCTGTCTATGAACCTGGGCGGGAAGCCGTTTTCCATCAAGGTTTTTCGGAGATTACGCAGTTCTTCTCCGATCACTTCCTCGCTGCATATCTTCCGAATTCTCGAGGAAAGAGCGTATATCAGGTTCCTCTTTCTGCTTAGGGGCACGAAGCTTTGGAAGTTGATGAATTGTCCATTCCATGTAGGCTTTTTGTATATGGATCTTATTAATCATTATAACTGATTCGTATGCTTTAGCTTACAGTCGAATGGCCGTTATTCAATAAAATTAGGAGATATAAGTATAAAACTTTGGCACTGTGGTAGAGCATAACTCCATTATGGATAAGATTTTATTTTGATAAATCACACAGTGTTGTACAGTAATATTAACTGATCACCACGTTTCGAGCATAAACTATTGCTCATAATCATATCATATCATATTATCAACAGCTGAACATATCGGTAGATTATGTCTAAGAGAAGAACTACATTGAATTACTGTGAAACTAAATAATATACGAAATGAAATCAAAATACTCAAACACAAACTCAAATGTATGGTCAATGACAAAGATTATGGAATTGTTGTTGAAACATCCGAAAAAGCTAGAGAATCAGCATTAAGAAAATCAAAAATCACACAAATCAAAAAATTCAACAAACTAATTGAAGAAAAGAACACAGCAAATGAAATTGATGTCCACGCTTCATCCTCTATCGACAGAACAAAGTGGGTGATCAACCTCTCATCAAGGGAACTAAGCTCTACTGAGATAAAAGTACTTGAGAAAGGACTAAATTTCAACGCAACAGTTAATAAATTAAAACCAGAGGATGTCATTCCTAACATAGAAGTCGCACTAGGTTCAATAGATAAGACAACAGCAGAAGAGGTTCGAGCACAATGTGCATTAACCCTGAAAGAACTTGATATGGTTATGCATTGTATTATTATTATTGTTCCCTTGGGTTCCTAGTGGAACATAGGGCTTCAACTGCACGTCTCCACTTGCTTCTGTTTTGTGCTGTACTTTTCACTTGCATCCATGTTAGTCCATACTGTTTCAGTTCCTCATCACACGATCTTCTCCATGTCACCCTTGGACGTCCCACTCGCCGCTTCCCTTTCGGGTTCCACTCGAGAGCCTGATGCGCGATGGCACCCAGCGGTCTCCTCAGCGAGTGTCCAATCCACCTCCACTTTCTCCTGCATATTTGTTGACCGATTGGTTCTTGTTTTGTTTGTTCCCATAGTTTCTTGTTTGTGATTCTTTCCGGCCATCTAATCTTCAGTATGGAACAAAGACAGCTGTTGATAAAGGTCTGCAACCTGTTGAAAATATTCTTTGTGACCCGCCAAGTTTCTGATCCGTATAGAAGAACTGACTGACTTGACGTTTGTATTGAAAATCCGAATTTTGTTGTTGATGCTGAGTTGATTGACGAAGATTTCCAGATTGGTTTCAGGTTGATGAATGTGTTTCTCGCCTTCCCGATTCTCGATTTGACATTGTCGTCCGTTCCACTCTGTAGTTGAGACAGTGCTCCCTAGATAAGTGAAAGAAGTAACCTCTTTCAAATCCCTGCCGTTGATAGTGATTGGCGTTGGATGTTGCTGCTGTTGTTGTTGTTGGTTTTGGTTGGTTATTTTCATAACCTCCGTCTTGTCTATGTTCACCTGGAGTCCTGTCTTTGCTGCTTCTTCGACCAGTTTGTCGGTTTTCGCTTGTAAGTCTTCGATTTTGTGTGACATCAAACATAAATCATCCACGCGTGAAATCCAGGTCTTCTAGGTTCTTCACGTCGGTCCAGGATATCCCTGTCTTCTCGTTTCCCACTGTCTGACGCATAATCCAGTCCACCACAATTAGGAATATCATTGGTGATAATAGGCTAGCAGCCTTGTCTGACTCCTGTGTTTACTCCAAACGCTTCGCTGAGTTTTCCGTTGTGGATCACTTGATATGTGCCGTTGTCGTACAGTTGTTGAATAAGGTTGATGAATATTTGGGGTACGCCGTAGTACTCGAGTAGTTTCCAAATTACTTCGCGGTCAAC